ACTTACTTATACATAATAGATGAGTGTTTTGAATGATATGGAATGCTAGTGTACATCAGCAGTTTACAAAACAGGGAACACTTGATAAGGAGTTGGACTTTTTTGTGCCAAAATTACAAAACTAACAATAAATTAATCTGGAGAATTCCAGTATCATTAAAATGCCACTTTATTGTATACAGAATAAAAAGGAGCTGCTGTCACTCTCAATTTTTCCATCTTTCCAGTATTTATACTACATAAAATTATTTATATGAACTCAGGACTATCGAAAGGAAAGGGCACTATAATATTCATATAATTAAAGAATAAATATAGGCTTTTAATCTAATTTGTAACAGATTTCACCTGTAATCATTACACGCCATTTTTTAATTTAATTTTAATTTTTTTTTGAGGCAGAGTCTCAACCTGTCGCCAAGGCTAGAATGCAGTGGTGCAATCTTGGCTCACTGCAACCTTGACTTCCTAGGCTCAGGTGATCCTCTCATCTCAGCTTCCCAAGTAGCTGGGACTTCAGGTGTGCACCACTATGCCTAGCTAGTATTTGTATTTTTTATAGAGGCAAGGTTTTGCCATATTGCCCAGGCTGGTCTCAAACACCTAGGCTCAAGTAAGCCACCCACCTTGGCCTCCCAAAGTGCTGGGACTACAGGAGTGAGCCACCATGCCTGGTCCTATTTTATTTTGCATTTTGAAAAACTCAGGGCTTTTACTGGTATTCTGTTTTCCTTTATCATGACTACTACAGTACTTCTACTGTTTAACTTAGAATGGTTAAACATTCTAAAGAACACTTAATTAGTCTCCAGAGTGCTAATGAACCATGCCACTAACTGACTGACATGAAGAATGCTATTCTTTCTCTCCAGGTGCATATGTATTCTCTTCTTTTTTCTTTAAGTCTATGAGGTTGATGAAAAGAGCTGTTCTCTTGTTACTTGTCCATTTGTGCCTCAACCATTCTGATTTTGGTTGTGTCCTGGAGGAGGAGTTGGATGAAGGCAGAATAAATGTGATTCTGACTACCGGGAAATTTCCTGGTTACTTTTTAATGATTGGGGTAGGCTACCATAAATTGTTCTAAAGAGAACACAGCTTTTCACTGCTTTCACTGAGAAAATGTAGCAAACAAGGTGGATGCAGTTCCTTCCCTCACAGGTAAATAGTACATAGTGTAAGAGACTACAGAAAATTAGTAATTGTGCTAAGTGCTACGAAGAAAACAAGATTATCTATTCATAGTTACGTTTGTTAGTATTTGCAAACAGATAAATGGTTGACTTGAACACTCTATGTCAGGCATTTTTGTTGCCATTTAACTAGTAGCAGACATACAGTAGTGCTAGTCTCATAGTTTAATGTTCAGTAATAAGTATGTTCTACTAGTGGTATATTTTGATTTAAATCTAGATGATAGGATATAGAGGTTGGAAAGTGGCATGTAATTCACTTGCAGACATTCACAGTGGTCTACAAGTATATCTGTCAGACAATGAAAGGGTGCAAACCATTATCTTTCATTACAATTGAGATTTGTGTGAGTATACAGCCTTTGAAATGTAACTATAGTCTCAGCTGACATGTGCCATCAGTATAAAATACATATAGATTCTGAAGATGTACAGAAAAAGAATGTCAACTATGTCAATTTTTATGTTGGTGAAATTACAACATTTTATATAGTTAAATAGATTATAATTTTTTAAAAAAACTTAACATTCTTTTGTGAGGGAACATTTTGGATCTACTCTTCTTACATGTATTAATAGCTAACAATTAATCTTTAATTCTAGTACCATAATTAGCAAAGTACTCAGCAAACATTACGTCTTAATCACAAAAGCTTTAAGCAGATATTCTTACCTCCAGCCTATATAAGAGATTAAAAAAAAAAAACACCTGAAGTTCTTCAGGAAGTGCCAGAGTTGGAATTCAAATCATAGTTCAAAATCTACTCTTTTAGTTACTACGTAATCCCAGCTTCTCTCTCATCCCCCTCCTCTCAAATTCTATGTTTAAAATTTTGGACAAAGTAAAGGTTTCGAGTATAAAGCCACTAATCTCTGGGAACATTCACATACATCAACTAACTCCAAACCCTCCACTACACACATGCAAAAGGCTCTTCTATATTATTATAAAGTCTAATCCTACTTTCTTTAAAACGTAGGCTTCAAACAAATTAATCAGTAACGTTATTTTTCAAAGTGATAGTCATAGATAACTTGAAAACAGTGGAATTATTAATGTTTTTAAATTATGCTAGGTCGTATCATACATAAAACATCCAAGGTGTTTCCAAAGTAGTCTAAGTGTAAATGAAAATGTTACTTTATATTACAAAAGTCATTTAAAATAGTTATGGCTTTCATCAATTCTAGTAACCACCACAAACGATCCCTATTTCAAGGATAAAGAAACAATGAAAAGCTACAAGTGGCATGCCAAGGTCACAATAAACGATGTGAAAAAAACCAACAACCTTAGAATCTCAAGATTTTAATTCACAGTATCTAACAGGTTGTCAAGCAAAGTACATATGAAAGACAAAATCCAGAGTGTAGGTTTTTATTTGGTCAAGTAAAACAAGATCTATAAAGGATGGTTTTCAAAGAGGAAAAAACTCACACCACAAATATTTTCATTCAATTATAGGTAAATCTTCAAAGGTCTCTTGGTGCTGAAACTAACTTCTCCTTAGGCAGAATTTGCAACATCAGGTAATCTTTTCAAAAATATTTCATTAATAAGTCACAATACTGGATATACTGATCAATTTATCCCCAACATATTCAACTTCACTTATTAGGGTTAATTCTTTTTTTTTTTTTGAGACGGAGTTTCGCTCTTGTTACTCAGGCTGGAGTGCAATGGCGCGATCTCGGCTCACCGCAACCTCCGCCTCCCGGGTTCAAGCAATTCTCCTGCCTCAGCCTCCTGAGTCGCTGGGATTACAGGCACGCGCCACCATGCCCAGTTAATTTTTTGTATTTTTAGTAGAGACGGGGTTTCACCATGTTGACCAGGATGGTCTCGATCTCTTGACCTCGTGATCCACCCGCCTCAGCCTCCCACAGTGCTGGGATTACAGGCTTGAGCCACTGCGCCCGGCCAGGGTTAATTCTTAATTACTAAAGAAGCAGTTTTTTGACACAAGCATTAAGAAATGCGTCCTATAAAATATCTTCATGCTGACGGTAAACTCCATGGTCAGTTTGTTTGAGGATATAAATTTTATTGACAATGTTATTTTATGCAATGTGCACCATCCTATTTTAGGGAGGCAATTAAAAAAACAATCCCAAGTTGTGGTTTAAAATAAGATTATATAAATATGAATAGGTTAAATCATGGAATAAATCAACAGATTCAAACTACTTAAGTATCAGTCTGCTATGTTGTAGTCTTTTGAAATAATATAATATTGTAGAAGCTTTTTAAAAAAATTAAAATCTGCATTTTTTTTCAGAATATAAATTGACAATGTTAATGCTTTTGAGTTAATGTATAATGGTGTTTTAAGTTTTACATTTACTGAAATCTATCATATTTGCAAAAAGTAGGGAAAGATAAGCAATACATGCACATGTTCATACAGAAAAATACAAAATGTAAACTATTTTGAGTAAATAAAAATTCCAGGCTGGGCATGGTGGCTCATGCCTGTAATCCCAGCACTCTAGGAGGATGAGGTAGGCAAACTGCTTGAGTCTAGGAGGTCGAGGCCAGCGTGGGCAACATGGCAAAACCCTGTCTCCACTCTAAATACAAAAAAATTAGCTGGGCATGGTAGGACACACCTATAGTCCCTGCTATCCAAGAGACTAAAGTGGGAGGATGGCTTGAGCCTGGGATGTTATGGCTACACTGAGTTCTGATGACACCACTGCATTCCAGCCTGGGTGACAGTGAGACCCTGTCTCAAACAAAACAAAACAAACACTAAATGCTAATGGCTCATCCTTTAAAAGTAGCATAATCATTCCTATTTATAGGAAATAAAAGTAGCATAATCATTCCTATTTATAGGAAATAATTTTCTCAATATCACAAATAACTACTTCAATTAACTTTGGTAAATCAAAATTAGTGCTAGACTTAAATAGTTGATATAATAGCTTTCTGATATCTCTATAACACTGTCTCCAATGAGAAACCATGCCAGTTGTTCATTATAGGGGGCCCTCAGTATCTGTGGGTTCCATACCTCGATGAAAAACAATTATTTTTTAAAAAGCAATAAAAAGTAACAATACAACAAAAATACAAATAAAAAACCAAAACCGTATAACAACTATTTACATAGCATCTACAGATAAAGTATTTGGGAGGATGGGCTAGGATATATGCAAATATTATGCTATTTCATTTAAGGGACTTGCACATCTGAGGATTTTGGAATCCAAGGCGGGGTGGGTTCCAGAGCTAAATCTTCTACCAATACTGAGGGATGACTGCACTACTTTTAAAGTTAGATTACTTCTTTCCAAATATAAAATCTGTTATCAGCTAGACACAGTGGCTCACACCTCTAATCTCAGCACTTTGCGGCGAGGCAGGCGGATCATCTGAGGTCAGGAGTTTGAGACCAGCCTGGTTAACATGGCGAAATCCCGTCTCTACTAAAAATACAAAAATGAGCCGGGTACTGGTGGTAGGCGCCTGTAATCCCAACTTGGGAGGCTGAGACAGGAGAATCACTTGAACCTAGGAGGCAGAGGTTGCAGTGAGCAGAGATTGTGCCACTGTACTCCACACTGGGTGACAAGGGAAAAATTCCACCTCAAAAAAAAAAAAAACAAAAAAAAAAACTGTTATGAAGCTAATATATAACATCACCTCCTATATCACGCATTAATAAAGATGCCAAATATTCCACATGAATACATCTTCCAGGTATTTGAAATTTGTTTTTTAAAGTACTGCTTAGTTTTAGCCATTTAACCATACGCCTCAGTCTTCCTAAACAAACAATGAATAAAATTTAACATTTTTTGATGATACTGGGTCATACTGAACACGTATTATATAGTAATGATGAGGTCCTGGAAGGCAATTTGAATTAACTTGGACACTTAAACTAAATGGTTCTTGAACCCTATGATTTCATAGATCTTCAGATTAAACAGTGTATCATTAGTAAAGCATCTAACATTGCCTGCTCTGAATACTGACTCCCTTTCTCTTCAATCTGGTTGGTCTTACTTCTAATTCCAAGGTTTGGCTCATTTGCAGATTGTGGAAAGCTGGTAACTGAATTTCCTAACTTGCAAGTAAAACAGCATTACTGATTGTGGACAATGACAGTCTGAGTGAGGGTGGGTGCCTGCGGCCAAAGACAATGTAGAAGCTTCACTAAGAGTCCTTTTGGTGCCACCTTTACGGGTAAAGATTGTAAGTAAGTAAAGGACTACACTCTGGATAATCACTTGCTTTAATTCTGAATGCCAGTTAGGTGGCATTTTCTGAATCGGCCGAGAATTCCTATACAATCTTAGTTCAAATTATTCTCTCAATCACATCAAGAGCAGCAAAATATATCTAACAAACATAGCTCTTCTCAATCTCCTAATCTCATAAGTATTACAGGAAAACTAAATGTACAAATGGCAAGGATGTCATTAAAACAGAAGGTGGTTTTTTTTTTTTTTTTGAGACAGAGTTTCACTTCACTCGTTGCTCAAGCGGGAGTGCAATGGCGTGATCTTGGCTTATTGCTATCTCTGCCTCTCGGGTTCAAGTTATTCTCCTGCCTCAGCATCCCAAATAGCTGGGATTACAGGCATGCGCTACCAAGCCCAAATAATTTTTGTATTTTTAGTAGAGACTGGGTTCCACCATGTTGGTCAGGCTGGTCTCAAACTCCTGACCTCAGGTGATCCATCTGTCTTGGCCTCCCAAAGTGCTAGGATTACAGGCATGAGCCACTTTGCTCAGCCTAAAACAGAAGATTTAAGAGTCAGTTTTACTTTAACTGAAAACAAAATGCACTGAGGGAAAAAAGATTTCAGAATTGCCTTCAGAAGTTTAACTTTTGCAAATTTTTTGCTGAAGTGAGAGCTAATTTTTCCTATACCGATAGTGCAGTGTCTGCCACAAATTAAGCACCAAGTAACTGCTAATGGAATAAATAACAAATGATTTTTCCTGCTTCCTCAGTTCACTTCCTAGTTTACAGAAAAAAATAGTAGTACTTTTACTTTAAGATACTTTTTTTTTTTTTTAACACTACTACAATAAAACAGTAAACCCTATTTTAGGAAAAGAGTCAAGTAACTGTTTAACAATAGAACACAGGAGACACAGGCAGCAAAATGTATTTAATTTGAACGTGGATTCTAACCATATCTTAACTCTGGGGCCTTGGGCAAATCAAAACTCTAAAGTGTTAATATTTGAGGACTAATAAAGCTCTAGAAAAGAATCTCAAACAAATACAGAGAACTTACTAAATCAAAGCATTGTTAAGTACAATGAAGGAATCCAAAATCTACTAAGGACATAGAGCATGCAATATCGAAACAAGACAACCGGTGCATACATATTTATGACTCATGTATATTTTCCTAACCAAAAATTGATGAAGCTTGAAAAAAATTTTCAAACACTGAAAATAAATCACACTGAAAAATCCATGCTACATAAGAAACATAACACAGTCAATGACAGAAGTCAGAAGTAAATCTCAAAGCAAGTGCAGACCACAGAAGGGTATACTTAGAAAATGAGTGATCATTCTGGGCTGTAAGGTACAAGTAGATTTGAGGAGAATGACTCAAAAACTACTGGTTTATGATGTCTACCCAGTGTCTCCTACTGCCCTCTGTGGATAGGTATTTATCATCCGTTACCTCAGCCTTATTTTCTCAAAGAAAGCATGACTTACAGAGCTAAACAATTCTCTCAAACTGTGGGGGAGCTCATAGTCGAACTCAAAGCCATTTAGTTATCAAAGCAGTCACAAAGGCAGTAAAATGAACAGGTATGCTTGTCAGTAATCAATCAATTTAGATGGAGCAGAAAGTTCCTGTAGAATAACAGAAAGTAAAGCTGAAAAAAGTAAACCAATGGAAGAGGGAGAGCACTGGGGTTCATGCTTAAATGATTCTTTCCTATGCATCAGTAGCTCTCAAATTGGGTTCTGGGGATATAATGTTGAGTTTCCAGCATTCACTTTAAGAAATGTAAAAGTGGCCAGCTGTGGTGGCTCACACCTAGCACTTTGGGAGGCTGAGGCAGGCAGATCACCTGAGGTCAGGAGTTTAAGACCCGCCTGGCCAACATGGTGAAACCCCGTCTCTACTAAAAATACAAAAACTAGCCGGGCTTGGTGGCGAATGCCTATACTCCCAACTACTCAGGAGGCTGAAGCAAGAGAATTGCTTGAACCCAGGAGGTGGAGGTCGCAGTAAGCCAAGATCACATCATGGTACTCCAGCCTGTGTGACAAGAATGAAATTCCATCTCAGAAAAAAAATAATAATAAAGAAAGAAAGAAATGTAAGACTATTTTAATTTTGATGCTTCTCCTAAATAAAAGAATGTTCTGGGTCAACTAGACTAAAAGACTAGCTTAAACATAGGGGCGACCCACTTTTTTACTTACTACTGAACTGAATCCCAGTGATCCCTAAAATAGTATTTTTCAAACTGTGAGTTATGATCTATTGGTGGATTATAAAATCAAGAGCAACATTTTAAAATAAGTGAAAACAAAATGTGTCACATATGCTAAAGATAAGTATTGTTTCATGGTCATTTTGTTTCAGTGTGACAACTAAATGGTGAAGTAAAATAAAGTTATATCTTACTCCACGTTGAGTATTCCTTACCTGAAAATGCTTGAGACCAGAAGTGTTTACCATTTCAAATTTGGGATGCTCAACCTGGATAAGCTGAGGTTAATAACTTGTTAGAATTACAAGATCTACAGACTTACTCTCTTTGATTTCTGCAAACTGAAATTTGAGAAACACTGTTACAAGAAGTAGACTGCCACTGAGTCAGAAAGACAAAAGCAGGACTTCGGGGAATTTCACAAACTGAAAGGAATGTTTAAAGGCAAGTTCATCCGGACAAGAACTAGGATGTCATTATTAGGCTATACAAGGTAGAGACAATGCAACACAATAAATTCAGACCAGGTTTAATATCAAGGTAAAAACCATGGTAAATAAAGAGGTCATTCCACAAATCTTCTAAAGTCTCAGTGATGGGGTGGGGATGCCTCTCTTCTATGCAGAGATTCAGATCAGAAAGGGAGTAACTTTTACCAATCTAAGGGACAGTCAGATGTGGTTAGAGAACATGAGTGACAAGAAAGCAGAGGCAGTGCTATTGAGAGGAAAAAAATTAATTTCTCCTATAAAAGTGCTTCACACTGCAGTAGGGAATAAAGGGAAATGGGACATGTGGTAAAGTGTTATAGTAACGGTCCCTAATGAATCACATCTCCCTGTACCCACAGCATTATGGGTCCCTTCCCACAAAGAGGCTGAGTTTGACCACTTGTCAGTAGCCAATGAGACATCAGTATGAATATGACACAAGGAGGGGCTTACAAAGTAAAGCATGTATGGAAAAGAACTTACTCTCTTGATGCCACGTAAAGAAATCCAGGCTACCTTACTAGAGAAGGTTAAGAGTAAAGAAACGAGCCAGCCTAAGTGAAGCCTTTAGACCAACCTGTCTGACAACTACCAGACATATGAATGAAACTATCTGGGACCATTCAGCCCCAGATAACCTGAGAGCTGATGGCAGAATCAGTCAGCAGACCCACTGGCTTGTGAACAGTAATCAAAATGGCTGTTCTTTTAAAGGTACTGTTTTTGGATAGTTTCTAACATGACAATAACTTATAGAGGAAACCTGGGGAAAAAAACAAGGGCTGTAACATTCTCAATTTAACTTTTATTTCAATGCCTCAAACTCAGAAGGATGAGTCTTTAGGCTATGTAACCATAAATCTATGCTTAAAAGATTAATCAAAACTTCTTAGCTTGGCATCCTAAACTCTTAGTCTGGTTTTAATCTATCCTTTCTATCCTATCACTTGACATTTTTCTCCAGATGGTAGTTTGAATAATTGGTCCATTTCTCTGAGCTTTTATTGTCATTCCTCCCACTTCTCTTTGGTTATCCAAAACCCTTCAAGATCCAAAGTAAATAGTGTCTTCCTTTCCTGCTCAATTTTTGGCTAAAATAATTTCAAAATGTTCTACTTCTCTTAATCCATACTTATTATACTGTTAGATGCTTTACTATCTAATTCTGTCACTTAACAATTAATATATGTTGCAGATTTTGTAAGCTCTTTGAGGGTAGTGGTCCACTCCATAATTCTCTATAACTCCCTTAGCGTTCCTACATAAGAGCAATTTAAACATCTAATTAGAATAAATAAAAGATTTATGTAACTGAATTTTAACAAGTCTTCTTAGCTGAACATATGTACTTAGAGACCATTAGTGTCTTTCTCTCTCCTCTCTCTCTCTCTCTCTCTCTCTCTCTTTCTTTTTTTTGAGATGGACTTTCGCTCTTGTTCCCCAGGCTGGAGTGCAATGGCGCAATCACGGCCCACCGCAACCTCTGCCTCCTGAGTTCAAGCAATTCTCCTACCTCAGCCTCCCGAGTAGCTAGGACTACAGGCACGTGCCACCATGCCCAGCAAATTGTCTTTCTTTTTAAAATGTAAATCAAGGGGGGGAAAGGTAACATTTTTCGTTTTAGATACATTGTGCAACCGCCAATGCCAAAAGAAAAACAATGATTCAAGAGGATCTCCTAGAAAACAATCCATTGCTAAAAGTTGCAGTGTATGCTGGCAAACACATTATTGAAAGCAAACTCTCCATTTTATAACTATAAGAGAATATTCATATTGATTGGTTAATTTTATAAACTAAATTTGTCTGTAGGAGTTGGGAAAAATAATGTAACATCTCATCTTTGACAGAATATTACGAAAGTAAGTACAGCAGTTTTAAAGCTAAAAACCTATGAAAATCCTGTTTGGTAGGTTATTAAATGTTATGAAGTACAATAGCAGAATATATCTTCTCCTCCCTCATTTAAATTTAGGACCAAAAAGGATAAGAAGGGGGCAAAAAAAGTTTAGTAAAGTTTTCCCCTTTCCTAAAATTGGTATAAGCACATTCTGCAAAGTGGAATTTATTACTGCGAACATGCAATCATACTAATTATAAACATTTAAAAAATTATTTCCCATGAGCTTTATCTAAACTTCTAAAAGTTTAAATGACTTATTGCTCCCTCAATACCTAAAGTAATTATCACTAATTAACAAGCAAGCTATCTTTTCTTCTGATTTGAGTGTCCTACAAATTAAGATAGCCTCCAACAGTCAAAAAGAAAAAATCTAATTTTTAAGGAAAACGCTTAAACAGTTTCAAAGATCCTGCAGTTATAATTAAAGCGAAGCAAAACATTTATATAAAGAATCAACTTGTACCAAACAGATGAGACATAAAATATACAAAGAAATGCCCTAAGTAGGTAATCCAAACACTCTTTAGCTCTCACAGTTTTAAAATGGTTTTTATTTCTTATACCAATCAGGCACCAAAAAGGGCTAATAAAGGTAATGAAAACTAGCTTAAATAGTACCTCCTCAGTAAAGCCTTCCCTGATATCCCAGCCTGAAGGGCTTACTACCTACTTTGAACTCTTTAAATTACTATATATAAAATTAACTTACTCTCCTAAATATCCACTGCTAACAAACTGATTAATTAGACACAGCTATAGACTAGAATTACATACACTATAAAACAAAAAGCCATAACTTACATGGAGCAGCTATGAAATAAGCTAGAAGATGCTTTTAGGGGGGAAAAGCAAGACGCAGTGTAGTTATCTTTATTTTTTAAAAAAGAGCAAATTAGTTCTGGAAACTATTAGGGGACTGTCTTTGTGGAATAAGACTGGAGCTCTAGAATGGGAAAATGATCAAGTTTTCATCGCCTGCCTTTTCTCAGGGTGAATTTTAAAAAACCACTTCACTTAGTACATTTTCGGTTAAAGAAAACAAAACCAACAACAAAAAAGCCAAACCAGGCTGGGTGCAGTGGCTTACTCCTATATCCCAGCACTTTGGGAGACCAAGGTGGGAGGACTGTTTGAGCCCAGGAGTTTGAGACCAACCTGGACAATGGGGGGAGATCTTGTCTCTACAAAAAAATTTAAAGTAAGTCAGGCATGGTAATGTGCACCTGTGGTCCCAGCTCAGTAGGGTGAGGTGGGAAGACCACTTGACCCCATTTGATCAAAGACGCAGTGAGCCATGACTGTGTCAGTGCACTTCTGCCTGGGTGACAGAGTGGAGACCCTGTCTCAAAATAATAAAAATTAATTAATTAATTAAAAATAAAGCAAAATTAATTTGTTAGTTGTTGAGAAAAACAGCAGAGGAGAAAGGACTTACAGAGTGCCTACATAAATTGGTTATGAGTAACATATAAATAAGGAACAACAAACTGTGGAAGGCCGCAGGAGGCCTCTGAGGAGGAAGGCCTCTCCATGCCTCATGTTCCGGTGCAGGGTGACCGTGGCTCTGTTAACATAAACACTGTGCTCAAGGATGTAAAACCCCTTTGTAGCACTATGACGTAGCCAGACTTGTAGGTTCCTTGTAAGGTCCGAGTTCCATCAACTGTACATAGATAATAAGCTAAAGATAACCATATATTCTTGTTTTGTGAAATTCCCAAACTGACACTTATCAATCCTTAGAATGATGCACCAGTTCCGGCTCACTGATTCATCCACCATCACTCCACCCCAGCCCTATAGATCAAAGCAATTGTAATCAATAAATAGTGTAGATGATCAGAGCTTGGGGCTTTCACTGCTTCCTCCAGAGTAATAAAGTGATGGCTCCCTGGTCCTACTGTTTTTCTTAATCTGTCTTTTTCTCATTCCTTTGTTGCCACCGAACTTGGGGTACCCACAGGTGATGTAGGGCTGGCTCCCTACATTCTGATGCTCAACATGGGGCTCATGGATTCCCTACATTCTGGCACCCAACGTGGGGCACCAAAATGTAGGGAGCCTGCCCTATATCACCTGTGGGTACTCGAAGTTTAGCGGCAACAAAGGAATGAGAAAAAGATAAGACTAAAAAAGACAGTGGGACCAGGGGGCCTTCATTGTTTCCTCCAAAGTAATAAAAGCAATGGAAAAAGAATGTGCG